AGGCAGAGTCAACTGTCCCATGCTCTTCTCAGCACATGAGGAAACCTGGGGCACGCTGAACGTGCAGCCAGTTTTACACAGGTTTTTCAGCTGTTGAGGTCTAGCTGCACACAGGGCATTTTCTTCCAATATCTGCCCAGCTCTTTGTGCTATGGAGGTGGCAGGGGAAGCAGAGCAGTGTGGGGAAACCCCCACCCTGAAACCAGAGATGGGTGATGTGTTGGTGGTACTAACATCAGAGAGGGAAAGTCTGTCTCTGCCTCAGCACAATTCTAATTCTCACCCACTCAAGCAGGAATTCCCAAAGCCTTTTATTGAGTATAATAAAAGGTGCAAGGAGATTTTGCTGCTGCAGAGTTACCAGCTGAGCCATGCAGGCCCCCCTAGGTGAGCATACTTGGAGCTTAGCATCACAAGAGCTCTGGCAGCTGAGCTGTGGGATCTGCCAGCCCCACTGTAGTCACATGCCTGTTCTGCAGTTCTCTCTTTTAGGAGAGACAGGAGAAGGATTTCTCTGCCTGGTGATTTTCATAGGGGTGCCAGTGTTAAGGGAAAGGAGTGTGTGGCACAAAGTGGCTGCCACTGCCTAAGTGTAGATACATTTCCTGAGCAAGTGTGGGTATGGTCAAGGCCAACATGAATGTTTGACATTGAGTGGTACTGCAACGATACAGACTGAAAATCTGGGAGCATCAAACTGTCTCGAGGCACTACCTATAATCTGCTTCTGGGGGATCCTGGACTCCTAAATCTATTTCTCTTACAGCTCAGGGTGAGTTGTTTATGTGGGGCCTTTTTCAGCTTGTGTAAATAGAGGGGACACTTGTTAACACAGTGCCTGCAGCTCTGCCTTAAGGGCACTTTGAAGTCCAGTATGAGAGATGCAGGCTGATAGGTGATTGCTTAATGCCATCACTCTGGACACTTACACTGCTTAGCCTGCCACTCTGAAATGAGATGTGCTTACTAATCTCCTGTCTGGCTGTGAAAGGTTTGTAATTGCAAGGGAGGGCTTGTGCCTGTGCCCCTGTCTATGTAGGGGACAAGGCAGTAACTAAGTTTATCACGTCCCTAAATTAAGATTCCTACCCTGACAGAGTTCATCTGAGGGCATCAGATACTCTGATGTTTAATTGGGCTCTGAGCCTGAACTTAGCTAATGCTCAAAAAATTTTTTGCATCTTGCTGATTTTTATTTCATTTCTTGGAGCTGTCTGACAGATGAATGTTTGTACTCTTTTGTTTTCCAGAACATAGTTATATCTAGTGCAGCTGAAAGGGTAAGTCTCAGATTTTTTTTTTTTTAATAAATCGGAACAAATTGAAGATTTATCTGTGGCTGAAAATACAGCTTTAATTACACATTAAACATATAAAAATATATGTTTAAATATGGTTGCCATTACCAAAGAATTGTATTGTGGGTTTTGGGACTTTTTTTTGGTTAGTTGTTTTGTTTTGTTGGTTTTGGGGGGATTTTTTTTTGCTGTTGCTGTGGTATTTTTCATGACAGTTTTGTCCCAGATGGACACTCTGTTTGCCAAAATAGTGGTATTTGCTTGATTTACTGTTATGTTCAGTAGCTTGCTATTATATAGCATTTAATCTTGCCTATCTGATAGCCTTGCCCTGCCTGCTCACACTGTCAGTCTAACAGCAAAGGCATTCACATATCCAAACTTTGTTTTGTTTTAGCCTCTAGAGCTCCGAGGTCCTTATGATGTGGCTAATCTGTATCCTTTCCCAAAGTTAAAGGCAGCACTTAGTAGTAGCACTGGAAAGTTCAAAGTGGTTTTGAAATTCTTTTCATCCTTTACAGTCCTTGAACTTTATACAGTGGTACTTGCTGGTGACCCATTCAGTGAATCAGGGCTCTTAGTGTGTGGAAGGAGCAACAGATCTTGGTCATGGGGTGGCATGAGAAGTCACTGTGGCTAATAATGTTTGTGTTCAGCTCCAGGAAGGTTTTTTTGTGATGTGCATTAATGTTGTGTGGGTGTAAATGGAGAAATTAATAAAACCCATAAAAATCTAAGGACACTATGAACCAAATGAGACATTATTACTTAGTATCTCCAAAGTGTCACATTTTTGGTAGCAGAAGCTCTAAAATTGGTTTTATGTAAAATTAGAAGTTCCTATTTGAGCAGTAACTACTTCTGGTCTGGATTTTCCAGTCCTTGGTTATACATGTAATGTTAAAAAACATGGTTGTATTCTAGAAACAAAGGAGAGTGTCTTTTCTTCCCTTCTTTTAGGAGTTCAGATGCATTTTTGTTACTCTCCCCACCCCTGAAGCACATATTTGGCCTGTCCCTGGAAGGGAAGGAGTGTGCTCTGAGTCATGAGAGCCATGTGGGAGGTTGTGTGGCCTGGAAGGATTTTATGCACAATGTTTTTTCTTCCCTCTTAAAATGAGCAGTCAGGCTCAAGCCAAATTAACATAGCTAAGGTGGTGTCATCCCCGCTAAAAGTGGCTGGAAACTTCAGCATAATGCATTAGTATCAGACAGTGCCCTGTCCCCAAAGCTGAAATTTTCTTGGGGGTAATTTTTTTTCTTGATTATGCATATCTAAAATGTTTCTGTGTTGACAGACTTTTATTTTCAAAAGTACAGCTTCTTGTCTGGAAATAAACAACATTGCCAGGAGCTTTCCAGGAGGGCTGCTGGGGAACTGCAGCCAGGAGAATTGGGTGCCTCATTTCTGCTTCTGGGTAACCTTATGCAAAATGTCACTTTGAGTTACAGCTTTGCTAATTCCCAGTTATTTGTAGAGTAAGCAAGCCTGTCGTGCAGAGAGCCTTCCCTGTTGCGTGTGTTGCTTCCTGTGTGTTTGATCCTGAGCAGCAGTGACAGAGGTTTGCTGTTTGGCCTGTCAGAAGGTGAAGCAAAGGCAGCTGTGTCCACCAACTGCAGAGCCACCATGCTGCATGGAGGTGAGCACTTGGAAGCTCCTGTAAATAATGTGTGCATTTGTTAAACTGAGTTCTTGTGGATGCATATTCTGCAAAAGGTCTGAGACCTTACAGAGCAAGTCAGATCAGGGTTTTACTTCTTTGTCCAATGCATGAAGAGGAGCTTGTGTGGCAAGGCTGTTTCATTTTCCCTTGTTGCCATGTTGGCAAATCAGTGGCTGAACTGGCGGTGCTGTCTATGCTGGAGGACTCGTGCAACCACATTAATGAGTCAGAAAGGATTGAACCGAAATAGGAGCCTGCTGCTGTGCTTCATAGTGAAACTGCCCCATTTCAGAAAGGTTTGAATGCTGATCTTAGTGACACTCAAAAAAACTCAGTGATTGAAGTCAAAAAATGGGTATGCATGTGTTTTGCATTTGCCTTTTTGCAGCATGTATGCAAAAGCACCTTAGTCATGTCCCTTTCTGATGCTTTAATACGTGGATTATTTCTGACTCACTCTTCAGTGTGTATCATTTCAAACTCATGGAAAAATCAGGTTCTCCTCCAGCCTGCTGCTCATCTACATAGAAATACAGAGTTTATCAAATTTGTGTGAGATTTCTCAAGCCTGTCATCTATCTTATCTGTGAAATTAAATAGCAAGTGTCATTTCCCTTGTCCCAGAGAGGATACTAGCCCAGAATAAGTCAATATATTTTGTCAAGGTTCTTTCAGAGCCTCTCTGCTAATAGAGTATTTGTAGGGAATAGAGACTCTCTTCTAACTCAAATTTTGCAGAGAAGCTTCCCACCAGTAATTACAAAATTGAATTGGGCTCAGTAGGTTATTGGACCAGTATTTCACGATAATGTTGAGAGTTTAGTAAATAAAATTCTTGAATACCATAAAATACTTCCTTGGTATGTAGGGGATCCTCTGCCAATACAATTGTGCCCACATAGTCTAAGAATCCTGGCGTATGTGAATGCATTTTTTAGTGTTTTTTTAATAACAGTATGTTTGGCTCAGAAGTGCTTTTGACAGTGCTTCAAGAATGTGTCCTTCTGTGATTACTGAACTGACTAAGCCTGGTTTCCTATGGTTTTGTGTCTCTGCAGCTCCTCAGTCCCTGCAGACCTTGGTTTTCCTTGGTTTGCTATAATTCTACACCCACCATTGTATTTTCCCCAGTATTTTCTCCACTCTGTAATGCAGTGAATCCCGAGCTCCTGCCCTTGCAGGTTGCTTCCCTGCTGTGTGTGCTGACTGGCTGGTTGCTCATCATGTCCAGCTGTGGGTTGGGGCATGGACACCTGAACTGAGCATGCCTTAAATGCATTTTATTTCAGCATTTGAGGTGCTGGTACTGCAGCTTCTGCTTGTGTATTCCAGAAACTCGAAAGAGTGCCTGTGGCGTGGTGTACACGGTGAAGAAGCCTCGCAAGGTTGAGGAGGAGGAAACAGCAGTGCCAGCCTGCAAAAAAGCTAAGACTCAAGCTTGAGGACTGAACAAGTTGTCAACAGAAGCCTCCATCTCATCTTTACCCAGTGTTGAGTCTTCCTCCAACCAACCTTATTTTTCCATTACTACCTTGCCCAGCCTGCAGAAGAGTTATTCTTCCAGCATTCAAGTGAGGAAAACTGTGTGAATGAGACTGCTGAATAGTGTTCACCACATCTGAAAGGTCATGCTGGGCTTCTGGCCAAGGGCAGGAGACTGACTCTTCACCCTCCCTTAGGTGTCCTGGAGTTAATGCAAACTCAAGAGAATATTTTTAACGTGGAAGTTTTTACTTGTACACATGCATTCCTTTTTTATTAAAAAACATGTCTAAGAACACATGCCTTCATAGTCTAGCTCTTCTGGTTTCTCAAGTTTTAAACACATCTCTGTACAGCTGCAAGACTGTAGATGAAGTTTACCTTGAAGTGGCCTGTGAAGAAACTTTTCAATCAGCTCCTGAAGCACTGTATCTAATAAAGTTTATTCTCCCCCAGTTTCCTGAAGCACATTGCTTTGGCCACTTGGGTGCCTGAATGATTGAACTGTTGCTGGATTAGGTGTGGAACAGACTGAGTTAGCCAGCACTGATGTCATTTCTGTTTCTTGCCAGGCTTGCTGCCAGTGTGCAGGTAATTGAGCAGAAACAAGCAGGGAGGTTGTGGCTTGCAGCAGAGGGCAGCAGGTGGAGGTGAGCTGTGATTTCTGTGGAGAAGGATGTGAACACACATCAGGCCTGTGGCTGCCAGGGTGGCACTCTTGAGTTACTGTGCTTGTGTGAGAAGAGTCTCATCTGTCTGAAGCTGTTGGCCTCAGTCTAGAAGAGCTGCCTGCAGAGAGAATAGGTGGTTCTTCTGCTTGTTCCTCTGGGTTTTGTGCAAATTCACTCCAAAATTGGCATTCCAGGAAATCCTATACCTTGCTGCCCACTTCTGACTCCACCTCAGGATAGTGCCCAGGACATGGCTTTGGCCAGACTATAAAGCCAGCTGACATGGGTTGGTGGAGGAGTGTGAGAGCCTCTGGCATATTTGTCTGTCAGGCCACCCAGTGGATAATCAGGCATTTAACTGAATGCAGCATCTTATACCCCTCTGCTCTGCTCTCTCCCACCTGGAATGCTGTGTCCTCAGCACAGGAAGAACATGGAGCTGTTGGAGTGTGTCCAGAGAGGGCCACAAAGCTGGAAAGAAGGATGGAGCACTTCCGTGTGGAAGTGCTGAGAGAGCTGGGGTTGTTCAGCCTGGAGAATGGAAGGCTCCAGCACCACCTTACTGGGGCCTTTCAGTGGTTAAAGGGACTTACAAGAAAGATTACTCCAGAATATTCATCAGAGCCTGTTATGATAGGACAAAAGATAATGGGTTTAAACTAAAAAAGGATGGATTTAGTTAGAACACAAGAAAGAAGTCTTTTACAATGAGGGTGGTGAAACACCAGCACAGGTTGCCGAGAGGTGGTAAATGTCCTATCCCTGGAAACATTCAAGGCCAGGTGGGACAGGGCCCTGAGCAACCTGATGGTGTTGAAAAGGTCCCTGCTCATTGCAGAAGGGTTGGAATAGATGAGCTTTAAAGGTCTCTTCCAGCCCATGGGACATCTTGCCCTGGCTGGCAGCCCTGAAGGTTGTCCTGCTTCTGCTAAAGCAAAGGGAGAAGTGCCTGCCTTTCCTAACAGGACTTGGCATCTCTCTTGGCTTGAATAACTGGAGCTGTCTCATGCTCCACATAGTGACTAAGAAAGAGATGATATTTTTTAAATCAAACTCAGTAATGGAACTGTAACTTTGTTTTACTAGCTAGTTGAAATGCTGTCTTTCTGCTTTCACATGTGCCTCCACTTAACAAAATAAGTGAGATGGGGTTTATCTAAGAGTGGCAAGGAGGGAGTGTAAGGGATGGCTGCTCTTGGCAGCTGAGACTTAAGATTTTTAGGAATTTTGCAGCAGACATGATGTGAACTTTCTTTAAAGAGAGACAAAATTACCCCATGCATGCTCACCACTCCAGCAAATAAAAAGAACCACTCAGTTAATTTATTCTGAAATGGATCAGTTCAAAATGTACAGAAAAAGCAGTACAAATTTACAAATATACATAATCTGATTTTGCATTCTCCTATCATCATACTTTGTAGTAGTCTAGCTTTTAAAAAATTCACTTCCCTGATACAGTCTCCTCTGACCTTCACAACATTAAATCTGAATCCTTCAGTCCAAACGGGTACATGGTGGTTGGAGCTCTGTCCTCGAGCTCGTTATCAACCATGATTGCCAAACCCTGTGTAAACACCATTACTCAACTGCTTCATTAAATCCTCTTGGCACCTCAGTACACCTCCTTCCAGTGCTCTTCCACATACCACCACTCCATTCACAGGTTATTTTAGCAGTGAGACAAGGCAACAGCTGCAAGTATTTGCTATTTAGAGCTATTGGAAGGCTTGAGAAAACTTGCTACTACAGTTGAAAATTCTGCTATTTAAGACCAAAGGATTTATGTTGCTGGCAACAACTGCATTTAGACCAACTGCACCTATAAAAAAAAGCTTAAATAACATAATTAAAAATTACTTTAAAATAAATAAATAATAAATAGAAATAAATAAAGCCATTTTAGAACTAGTGGAATTTTAACACTCAACCTGTCTTTTAAAATAATTTCTTTGCAGGTTTTTTTGCAGTTTCAGTGAAGGCACCTCAAATAATCCAGTGCCATAAATATTTTCAATAGATGTTCAAGGACATTTTCATCCAGGTTTGTGGGTAGCATTTCAAAGCAGCAAAAGGGTGTGGTCTGGTTTCTCTCCTCAGAATTTACCTAGACGGGCATTCTTTTTGGAATTGTCTTTCAGGCTGTTGAATATCTCTTTGGTGCCATTCTGCCACTGAAGGACAAGATCCATAGGAGTTTTCCCTTCCTGGTTAAAAGAAACAGAGAAATATTTAATTTCATCCAATGATGGCTAAGTCCTTGTTCTTTCCTAAATACTTGTTCATTGCATCTGCATGATGTGAATCCCTTCTGCACACACAGACTTATTCTTGCACCCCTGGGGTCAGAGTACTTGTGCTCTACAGATCTAGTCCCAGTCCTGGTCAGAGCCGTGATGAAAACTGCCTAGGTTTCAGCGGATTTAGGCAAAGGCTGTGACCAGCAGAACATGCAGGTCTTCCTTTTGTTTTAGTTGCAAGTGATTAGAAATTTGTTTAGGTGCAATCTCAGTAAGACGCTCTTTCATTTAATGCAGAATTCAGGTAAGAGTTTAACTACAGTATGAGCCACAGGAATCAAGTAGGACCAACTTCTGTGTGCAAAGTCTGAGAGGGCAAGTCTCTGGCCTTTGGGGCTGTACCTTCCATAACTGTCATACTCTGATGAGGGATAAAGCCAGAACAGCCACACTTCAGGAAGGTGGGCAGAGAGCAGGGAGTACTGAGTGCTCCAGTGGCTGTTTTCCTCCTTGTCCCCTGGGGTTTTGACTAATTGTCAGTCAAAAACATTGACTGGTAATGTTAGAACCCATGCTACTGCTGCTAGGTTTGGATTTGGGAGAAAATGCTGTGTTTTAATAATCGGTCACAGAGCTCAAGCAATGCTACAGCTGCTGCAGTGGCTCTGAGCACAGTCAGGTGTGGGACTTGTCTGTGCTCAGGCACAGGGATGTGTTGGCCGGCTGTAAGGCTGACAGCCAGTCCTGCAGCTCCAGCGCTGGGGCTGGCCCTCACCTGTGGGCTTAACAAAAGGATTTCTCTTGCAAGGTAAGATCCTTGTTGTCTCAGTGGTTGAAGCCCAGGAGTTGTGCAGAGTAAGTATCCTGTCTATTACATCTTTTCATGATATGAGTAATTAAAATAAATCATGGAAAGGTGTGATGTTGTCTAAGTAGCAGATAGTGGGTTCTGGTTTTAAAAGAGGTACTGGGTTTTCCTCTTTTCCTGACCTCCCCCAAGTTACCCTTTCCCTGTCTCAGCTCTGTTTTAATTAGCTCTGAAGTGATCTAATTAAGTCTATTCAAAATAGTCTCTCCTGGTCTCGAAAACTTGCTCTGGTGGGAAATTTATTTTAAAGCATTTTAAAATTACTTTGATTTTGTGCTGTTACTTACGCAGTTCTTTAGAGTCAGATCTGCTCCGTGCAGGATCAGAAGCCGGATGATTTTGTAGCGGTTCAGCCTCACGGCGTCGTGCATTGGCGTGTCCCCTTCCTGGAGACACAGAGAACGGCGTCAGAACAGCCTCAGTCAGTCAGTCCCGGTACTGCCCTGGCCGCTGGGGCCGATCCCGGCCAGCCGCGGCCTGCTGGGGCCGCTCCCGGTACTGCCAGCCAGCCCTGGCCGCTGGGGCCGCTCCCGGCAGTGCCAGGGCTGCCCCGGCCACTGGGGCCGTTCCCGGTACAGCCCCGGCCGATCCCGGCCAGCCCCGGCCGCTGGGGCCGCTCCCGGTATTGCCCTGGCCGCTAGGGCCGCTCCGGGCCGGGCGCTGGGCCCGCTCCGGGCCGGGCTGGCGGAGCGGCGGGGCAGAGCTGCCGGTGCTTACCCGGTCCCTGGCGTTGAGATCGGCCTCGCAGGCGATGAGGTGCTCCCCGCAGTCGTAGCGACCTGTGCGAACAGCCACGTGCAGGGGCGTGCTGAGCAGCTGCGGGCAGGGCGGGAGATGGTCAGTGCCACTGAACAGGAGAAAGCTGCTTCAAAACCAGCTGCCATGAGTTAGCTGCTGGGGGTAAGGGCCAGCTTTTTGTCTCCAATTAAAAAAGCTGCAGAGTTCCAGAAGCGCTTACCTTGTCTCTTGCATTTATGTTTATCCCTTTGTCCAGTAAGAATTTCAGAACGTCCAGGTTTCCACCCCGGCATGCCCAGTGCAGAGCTGTAGAATGAAGCTTTAATGGGGAAAAAGAAATTTAAAGTATTTTAATACATCATTATATTAAAAAAAACCACTATTTTAACCAAATTTCCAAATTAATTTTATGTGATTCAACCTAGAGCACTTCACTGTGATCACACAGTGATCACAGTTTCTAGTAAAAAAGAATGTTTCTAGTAACAGCTTTTCTTATTTTGCCCTAATTTCTGCAGTACTGTGAATTTCTCACTCTTCACATTCATTGCTTATTACTCCTAAATACAGAGATCTTGGCAATGCTGCTGTGAAAGAGGATGTGTTTTGTTTATTCCTTGAGCTTAGAAGTTTCCTGTAGCCAGGTATGTGGCTGGTACGTGCTAGTTAATATTTTTTATTTAATGCCTTTTGGGTTCTAAAATGCATAGAAAATTAAACTCAAGGGAAAGAATAGTTCTCTTTAAAAAATAAACAAATCCCTAAGTTATGCAAGTCCACAAAGTGAATTAAAACCCCTCTCCTCTACAGGATTCAGCATCTGTGCCCTGAGCTGTGCTGGAAGGAGTCCCTTGATGCTCACACTCTGCCTGTCGTTCCTCCTCTTCCTCACCCTCTGGGTTAGCGAGGGGGAGCGAGGCTGGCAGTGCAGCCAAGGGCAGAGGAGCAAAGGAGCAGCTGCAGGAGCTCTGGGTGCTCAGGACCCCTCGTGGTTGGCATTGCAGAGGAGCAGGGGGCTCTCGGGCACAGCCTTGAAATCCTGCTGACCTTAGGGACCTGCATGGGACAGCCTGACCTCAGCTCTCCTACCCCACCCCAGGCTTTCTTGCTTGTGGCGCTCTGCTGGCCGCCACTTCTGTGTTTTCCAACAACCATTCTGGCACAGGGAGGCAGACACTCCCTCCTGAAACCCCTTCTCAACAATGTTATTTTAAGGATAAACTTCAAGGGCATTGCAAGTCCTTTTAGAACTCCTCCTGTGTAAGAAGCACTTCTATAAATGGTTCTCCTGGCGCCTCTAAAACAATGAGCAGCTTTTGGGAAGAGGTGTGAGTGGATGTGCATACCATGTCTTTCTGTTCAAGCTGGGCTCCAGCTTCCACCAGCTTCTTCACCACCTCTAGATGTCCTTCAGAGCACGCCCTGTGCAGCGCAGTGCGTTTGAACTGGCAATTGAAGCAGTGCAAAGTTAGATATCACATATGGCACAAAAGATCTTTAAATCTCTTCTCCCACCCTCCCTAGGATGATGGCAAATACATACTCCATGCTGGTTCGTTTTAAAGAGCTTTTGAGACCTGAAATCTGCTAAAGTTTAATAGCAGCCTGATAGCTGAGAGCTGCCTACCCAGCATTTTAAAGGATGGGGGAAGTATCTGCAGTATGGCATCCAGATTAAAATGACACCTGCTGATTTCCCCATCCAACATGCTATGCTGTATTTTGAAAGTGCAGTTCATGCATCATGGAGTAAGAGGGCAGTCACTTATTTATGTTGTTCTGCTGAAAAATTTTTTATCTCTTTTTCCATAGCATTGGAAGATCACCTTTTACAGAAAATCAGGTTCTCCTGGGTACCAACAGCCTTTCTATTTATAAAGACTCTTTTGAGGTAATATTATTTTGAAGGGTCTTAGTGGCCACTAGAAAACTTGATGTACAGAACTTCCAGCATTTATTTACTTTCCCCCACCCTTTTTTGCCTCTCATGAGGGTGGAATCTACAAAACCTCATGGTAAAAGTTATTTTTGTTCTCTTCTGTAGCAGGCTTTGCATTAGGAAGAAGACAGTACCTTATCACAGACATTTGGATCTCCTTTGTCTGACAGGTATTTTTCAATTACTGGCAACTTATTCTCCAGTGCAGCTTTGAAGAATGTGGGAATATCCACAGGTCCTGTCTGAAGGACAGAATATAGAGAACATAAATGTGTGTGGCACAAACCCCCATTAATACTTTCCCAGAATAAGCTACTTTGAAGTAACTTACAATAACTTCTGGTTCAGGCTTCTTTAAAACAGGCACTTTCACTTTCTTGCATCTTTTCTTCTTCTTCAGCTCAATAATTTTTTCAAGATCCTCCAAATTTTCAAGTTTTGACCTGGCCTGTAATTTCTTCTTCTTCAGCTGGAACAAATCAGGGAAAGCAGCAAGTTGAGCTGTGTGACCTCCTCTCCCTTTCAGAGTGGCAGGACAGCAATGTGATACTATTCAGCTGAATTCAAGTAAGACTGGATGAACTTTGAAATGAATAGTTTTAATTTTTTTCCAGGTAAGACTAATTGACCATTACAATAAGTTGCTAACTACATGAGAAATTCTACCTCATCTATAGTTTTTCATATACCATTAGACCTCTTCCTAACTTCTTGAGCTGTATGTTGTGACATGAATTTAAGCCAGGAGTCAGAGCAGCACTACAGTCTCTTCTGGCACAACAGTTTAAAAAATCTCCTGTGCAGCTTATGAAAGCTGGAAAGCTCCTGAAGTTTCAACTGACTTCCACCAAGTAATTTTCTTTAATCACTTTTTTTTTTTTAATGGTGCAGCCCCTAAATTATTGGAACTTAATTCTCTTTGCTTAAAAACATACCCTCAAGAGAGGAACAAGGTTTAGAATGATCTTAGCATTTCAGTCTACAAGTCTTTGTACATTTTGGGAAGCCACAAAGAATGTCCCCAGTGCCCTTGATGGGGCAGTTCAATAAATGTTTAAGACTTGTCCAGACCTGCTTGTAAAAAGCATCTGGGCATGAAGTGAGTGTGGGGCACTGCTGACGCCAAGGGCAGGTCTGTTGTCTGAACTGAGATCCCACAAGGTGTCCTTGGCTTCAGAAGATTCACAAACAGGGGCTAACTCAGGGTGAACACAGATGACAGATTCTGTCCCATGGTGTGATCAAGGTGAATACACTGGTACCATGGTCATATGGTATACAGTTTTGTCAACTGAATTCTTATTCAAGCTATTTCCACCTCTTCTTTTTGTTGTTCTCTGTATTTGTGGTTTGGTCTGCAGGTCATTGGCCTAATGGAAAATAATTATGCTGACTGTGGATAACTGGAAACCCATAAAGTTCTTAGGAACTGGCTTTGAAGGAACTCAAAAAAACCTCTGTAGTCAGTAATGATGTCTCTGGTGAAGTTTAAGAAGTAGTTTTTATTCTAATGTTTCTGAGACTGACTTTCTTACTCTTCATGCTTTAGAACAAAGTCTTATTTCCCCTGCTACCTAAACTTTATCATTTCCAAATCACTTTAAATTTTTAGGCCAGTTCATTGCTTATTCATAAAGAAAAAAAAACTTAAAGCTATTACAGCTACTGTGTTATTGGGGGGGAAAATATCAGTTCTTAAGGATCTAGGGAGAATTATCATGCTCCAGGAATTGAAACTAGTACTTTTCTGTAGACCAGTACAAGTTTCATTTGTAACAGTTCTTCCTAAATGCAATGCCTTGTTTTCATAAAAAGAACATTTTCATGTTATTGGTGGGTTAGTTATTCTGGTGGCAGTCATTAGGTGTGCAGCTGCAGGTGTCTCCCTGGCTCTGATTGCTCCCCCCTGCACTGACAGCCAGCAGCAGCTGACCCCTGGGCACAGGAGCTCTCAGGGGTTCAGGCAGGCACTGTAGGGGTGGTTGAGGCTCTGCCTCAAAGTGTTACTGCCCTCACCCACAGGCTACACAGGTGAGCAGATCTCCGTGGTCTTCAGTGGATTTTAGACAAACCTCCTTTCGTGGTGGTCTCCCAAGGGGTTTTCTAGCCCACCATGTATTTCTAACTTAGAGAGAGGCAGAACGTCAAGCACTGCAACAGGAAATGCACACATGATGATAAAAATCCAAGCAGAAAATCCAAGAGCCTACCTCTGCTTCTAGTTTATTCTCCTTCTCATAATCCAAATCACCTCGGGCCAAGGAGTGCTCAGGGACTGTCTTTAGGTCCTCCTGCTTCTCTAACCTTACAGCAGCTTCATACTCTCCATTCTTGAAGTCCTCAGGGAGGAAGCTGCCAGTCTCTTTATCATCCACCTTCTTCCCAGTCACCTGTAAATGCAAACATGATAAAATATAATCCATGAATTCTTGACTGCAGTAGCCACCACCTGGAAACATGGATTGCTTAGGGCTGCTTGTACCTCATTCCCGCCCTCTCTCAGTGTGTGACAGCCAGGCCAGGCCATTCTGCCTGTGCCTGGCTTAGCTGGGATGCAGCTGGCTGGGACACATCTCCCAAGCAGTTAAATTGGGTTGCTGCAGGATTTCAAGGCTGGTTTTATCCATTACTGTCAGTACCAAAGTCCCACTCATAGCAGAATGGCAGAAGCTTTGTGGTGCTGTGCACAGCTTTCAGTAGTTTTCAGAAATATTTCTGATACCCAATTAAGTGTGTATGAAGAGATAACTTGTTAAACTTAGTAGAGGCAGATGTGTATTTTGAGAGTGGTTCATGTGGCCTAGACTGCCTTTCTGTTTGATTACCTTGTAAAATTCTATTTGTTATAGAGTCTAATGCAGAAGAAGCTGTGAGAACCTTGCCAAAGAATTTAAGGCAGCATTAACTACTTAGGCAGTTGTATCTTAAGAAAACCATCTGGGAAAATAAGTGCAGTGTTTTACTGAATCAATCCTGTTTTCCCAGTTTCTCCATCAGATCAGACATTCTTAGTCTGAATCCTGCTGTGGAGTGTCCCATTACTTGTGGTCTAGACCTAATTTTTCAAAGATTTTTACATCATGAACAGCAGTGGCTGTAGGAACTGTTAGTTTATTATTAGAAAACAATACTATTATTAAGCTGCTAATTTAGTGTTATAAAATACTGTAGTTTCCAAGCATTAATATGTTGTCCCAGTCCCTTATTATATATGAATTACTTAGTGTGATCATAAAATTACCGGCTTCTAAAAATATATATGAATTAAAATCAAGGACAGAATCAAATAAGTAGTTACATTTTGGTTGATCTTTTCCTGGTGAACTGTGCTGTGATGCCAAATCCAAACAGCTGTATGGTTGTATCTGTGGTGAAACCCTTTCCCAAGGAGAAGTTAAAATGAAAATATAATAATATAACAAACAGTATATAAGGGTTTGCTCCTAGAGCACAGCAGTGCTGTTAGCCTACTAAATCAGTGATCCACAAAGGTTGTTTTTCTCTGCTGGTCCAATGACAGTCTAAAAAATAATTCATTGTGGGTAAATGAAAGAAGGTTGCACCTACCAGCTCTTCTAGCTTCATCATCATCGTCGTCATGTTTGCTGTGATCCGAGGCTGTGCTCCTGTGTGCTGAAACCTCCCAGGGCCGGGGCTCTCAGGGACCACCACGCTCACTGCACTTATATATCTTTGGGAGAGCTGTCCTGAATGAGATAATCTTCCAACCTGGGAATCCAAGTATGCCCTTGTGCTTGCCAGCTGAGAGGTGGCTCGGGCTCGTTCCAGCCGCCAGATCTGGTGTCCGGGCAGCGAGGGGCCACAGGGGCGGCAGCCCCACAGCCCCGCACAGCATGGGAACCAGAATGGAATGTGAGCTCATCATTCCTGGGGCAGTGACTGCACTGCTCAGCAATGCCAGCCATGCCGTGCTCCCAGTGCCCACTAGGACAGCTGTCTGTTGATGCAGCGTTATAACTTCATCTTCTTCTTTCTTTCTTTTTTTTTTTTTAATTGACATTCAGATGACTGTCAGACACTGGAAAGGGTAAATGGCTTATGTACAATGTTTATAGCAATATCTTCCTGATAAATGGATTATTACCTCTGAAGTCTCAAAAAGCCATTATTTTCATTGCTATTTATTCTTGGATGATAAACACTTTTAGGGGAAAGGCTTTTTCTCATCATGATGACAGTCTTCTATATTTGTTGGAAGGAATTCTCTGAAGGGATTACTCTACCAGAATGATGTCTCTGGTGCTAAAAGGGCCTATGACATGATGAGTTACAATCAGTGTAAAATATCAAAACAGTAAAATTTGCATTTCTTTGGACCCTTGTCAATGATTATAAGCCAAATAATAAATTATGTTTATACAAAAGAAAAAAAGAGGGAAAACAATACTGTTTTCTCGGGCAATATATGAGAGAATAGGGGCGCAGAAGTGATTTGTTTATTTTTTAGGATGAGATGAGATACACACAAATATAAGCACATGATGTGCGTGTTTTGGGGAAAAAGCTTTGGGAAAGCTTTTCTTGCTCTATGAATCAGAGTTGACTGGAATCAGGAGAATGATCACCAGCAGAAGGCAGTTTTATAAGAGGAAGACACACCGATCTTTGCATTCAGAGAGTGTGGGTAGATGCCAAGCCACATCAGCTCTGTGTCAGTGCAATGCCTGGAGGGCCTGTGCGGTGAGGCACGCAGGTCACCTGGCTGAAATGAATACAGCAGCTCAGGTGCTTCAAGTACGACATGTACACAAGTTCTCCAGCAAATGGAGACCTATCTCGGGTGTTTTTTATACCATCAGCATCATTAGCGTGCTGCATTCCTGACTTTGACCTTTCAAGGTGTCTCTCCTCTGAACTATCCCCCAGTAATCCGAGCACATCCAAACTTGTCTTCTAGTGCCCATCATACCTATGCCCTCCCTTTCCCTGAAATGAAGCTGGACATCAGGTGGTTCCTTTACCACTCAGAATATATATGACATTAGAGAATGAGTCCCAGAACGAAAATAGAGTATGTGCTAGCAACACAACCTTTCAGAACATTTTTTTCTAAACTTAAGTACAGCAACGCTATCATTCCTCCCTAGTGGTATGTTCTGAATCATGCTGCCAGGCTTTTTTCACTGCAGTTTTGTACTCCTGCTAAATATCTCTGTGACAAGAGGCAGCTCTGGTGTTTTCTTGTGTTCTAACAGCTTACCTCAATCTGTTCAGTTCTCTGATTTTTATTTGGAAGATTGTCTTGAAATCACAACCCTAACAGGATGGCTGCATAGAATGCTTCTGGTTTAGTGGAAACAGATCACAGCAGAGACCTGATGCAGAAAGAGAAACGTAGAGGTTTGCTTTTAGAATAAGACCTGTTTAAGGAACTGTGAGCTTCCTCTGGACTCTTTTTTTTTGAAGCTTATTTTCTCTTTTTTTGCTTTCTCTATTTTTTTTAACAGCTTGATGTATAAAACTGACTCAGCAAAACCTAATGTGAAAGATTTAAGAGGATAGATCTTCCTCTGTAAATGGTACATAAATCCAGAGCCAGAGTAGCTTTACAGGAAACCTCAGTGCTCTGAGGGGAAACAGAAACCAATTCTCACAAGTGCTAACGAAAGACCACAGTTCATTCATCTTTAAAGCATCCCATCCATGATGGCTAAAAGAATAATACAATATACAATATTTTTTGATTATCCCAAGTTTCTATTTTGAAATAGTGGCACCCAGAAATCCACTTTAACCAAAGGCTGGGATATAAATTAACCTAACAGTAAATGCTTTAAGCTAAATATCATGTAAACAAAGGCAACATGATTGAAATAGCAGAAATGCACCAGGTTGTATCAGCTAAGACTCTTGGCTTATCACTATTGCTTAATATTGGAGGGGGAAGTAGTATAATGAGCTGTAACCTTGTACTGGACAGTAACCACTCAATCACCTTTCATCAAGTGATTTCTCGTTAAGGTGGTAATGGCAGATGGTCAGTGGGCGATGTGTAACAGGAATCTGAAAAACTCTTGCCACTCCACTGAAGGATAAGGGCAGAGCAATCATCTGCAAGGTGTGAGGCAACTGGATATTGTCACAAAAATCCTCCACAGAGAAAACACCAAAGGACAGCAGACTCATCGTGACAGACAGAAAACTGTGGCACACCCTGTTCCCTGCTACCAAAATTGAACTGACTAGAGTAAAGAATGTTTGTAATTAATTTTTCTAAGTGATTAATGGTAGAGTGAAAGTACCATGTGTGATAAAGATGATATTGCCACCTCCTGTCAAGTGTGTGATGGTCGTGTTTTCAGTGGTGTCACTGCTCAACTTGTCCGTCTTACATTTTCCAGCACTCTGCCCTTGGCTCTGTCCATGCACCCATAGATGCTGCCCTTGGATGCCACTGTGCCTGACTGCCTGTTGTCCTTTTCCTGCTGCTCAGTAAGTAAGGTGTGAGCAAATCAGCTGCTGAGGAGTGGTAATGCACCTAAGAGGTTACTGAGCCAGCAAACTGTGCCACACGTGTGCAGCCAAAGAAAAATTCATAACCGAGGTACAGAGAAGAAGCAGCAACCACAGGTTACTCCTCCTGGATTAGCGATGTGCTCATGTGCAATGGCTTGTTTATTTTGCAGTGTGTGTGTGCACCCAGCACACCTTATATATGCACATGCATTCATACATATATACACACACACACACACACACACACACATATATATATATATATATCTTTTTAGCTGTTGGTTTTCCATAAAAGGCAGGAAACACTTTTATTTGTCTAACATATTCTCTTCAATACTTTTGTCAAGAAGTTAAGTGATTTGGGAATGAGTTAAGTATGATTTTACATCATTGTTTAGACACGTGATGAAAATACTAAACAATGTTGTACCAGGAACTGATCCTTGTGGGAATCTGCTGGAAATAGTTCCACTCGTTACTCTCACCACTTTGCAATCTGTCGGTGAGCCAACTTTTAGTTCTTCCAAAGTGCATCCTTTTAATTCCATACAATGCATGCTTTTTAATCATACCAGCATATGCCATGAAATGAAATGCCATTGGCAAGACCCAAGTAAACTGCATTAACATGAATGCCACTCTCAAGCAGACCTTTAATTCTGCAAAAAGACACTTTTAAAAAAAGGTTTTCTTTGCACCTAGCCCTACAGATTGGCATCCATTTCATGTAACTTGTCTGATTCTGCCTTGATAAAGCTTTGGTTAATTCTTCCCCCTGTTTTCCCAGTGCTAAGTCATGTCCACCAGCCTGTTGTTAACTCTTTCATCATTTTCAGCCAGTCAAAACATCTTGAGGGCTGTGAAAAAAATGAAAAGGAGCTTCTCTGCTTTACTGGCACTGAAGCTGGCCTGGGATATGTTTGGATGCAGCCCAAATGGATGCTCTACCTAAGGGAGATTTCTGCTTCTTGCGAATAAAAAGGAGCTCAGGGAATCAAGGTGATAAAGAATTGGATCGATTTTGCTTTAAAATACAAGAATGTTTTCATAAAGCATTGATTTTGTAATCTCTTTGCAAAACAGTAGTGTGTCAGAACTCTAAGACATGCACTCAGGCAGCCTCTCTCTTCCCCATTTATTGGAACCATATAATGTTAGAATCTATCATGTTGGAAACAGCTTGAGAAGAATTTTAAAATCACTATTACCTGGAAAAAATAACCCTTTTATGTTTTAATTTTGGGGAGAGAAGTTTTGGGTTTTATTGTTTTGGATTTTGTTTTTGCTTTTAAAATTTTGCATTAAATTGTAAATGCATAAACCTGCTCCACATTAAATTTGGTGAAAAGCTCTTTCTGTCCTTTCATGAGGTTTCATTGGCAGTAATATGTCACTGTATTTTTATTCTAGATATGTTTAACAAATATCTCCTTTGATTCCAATAATACCTGTGAGGGTGGAAAAGCATTGATGCAAATTTGGAATTACATTATATCATATGTTGGTCATGCTTTTGGGACTGGAGGATGGATACTTCTGTGACTGCAAATAGGATAAGAAAATACTTTTTCTCTTTTTTTGTCAGTTTATTGTAGGTATATAGCATATAATAAAAGAAGTTTGAATTTAATTTTAGAGAAGAGAGTAAGTAAAACACCGACAGAAAAAGAAAGGCGAGCAAAAAACCTCAAATGCACCTTTTCCTCCAAAGTTTCATAATCAGAGACAAATTTATGTCTGTGATGAATTTAGAGGAAAACCTTGTGTCCTATTGCAACACAGAAGTTTTACAGGAGTCTGTTATGAAACTGGCATGAGGTTTCTGTTTCATTTCAGTTTCAGAAAGTGTAGGGAGTGCATGCAAAGGGAGGAAAGAGGAATGAATGATCCAAGTTGGTTTCTCTGGGTCTGCGAACTGCAATGTATTCATCTGCAGACACTAGTTTTAGGAAGTTGTTATTTCACATAGGAAAATACTAAAAACCTCCCCCATAGCTATTTTGTCTCAGCAAAGGCATCTGCACACCACAGCCACCTAAATAAGGAGACCATGGGGTAGGCCTTTCCCCCAAAAATCTGTTCTTGTCCAGAGGAGCTAGAGAGATGACTAGGCTGTGACCAGGACCAGCCAGTTCTTCCTGAAGCTCTGCCCATATCTGATTCACATACCCTGTGAGAAATTTGCTCTGAGCTCTGCTTCTTTTTTCATGTTTTTTGCCACTTGTGTGGCAAAGACAGTGTAGGCATAGGCTGTTCTCACTCTAACATTGTAGAAAGAGCAGGAAGATCTTTCTTTTTCCTCCCCTAGGGCATTGATAGAGAGGATGCAGGATGGCAGTAACCCAAATGAAACACTAAATTTCATGGT